CATTAGCACCTCTAGTAATATATTTACTGAGAAAAATGGTGACGTGTTCAATACTTATTTTACCCGCTGTATCAGCTGGAAGTAAGCCCTGTGCAGTGATGTGTACCATAGTAGGAGGCGTTTCCCAGGACCTCCATACAGTGTGTGTGTCAGGGGAGATTAAAGGTGTGTAAAAAACATGATCAACAATTGGAAGAAAATACCTTGATTCTCTTTTAAAAATCTTTATAAAAGACTGGATTTAATGTCACTTTACTTCCTTTAGGTTTTTCTAAGTCAAACAGGCTTCAGCAGTGACAGAGTCACACTTAAACAATCAAAACCTCTGATGAAACTTCCTGTTCGGTCAGTTCACTCCAGTCATACGTGACATAATCTGTATAATCTGTATTTCTTGCAGATAATCTTGTAGCTTAACGAGGAGAGCAGTCAAAAAGTGTTAGTTTTACCAATAAAAACAGTAAATCTTTAAACATAAAACTAAAAATGAAAAAGTTGCTGTTCATGCTTTGTGCAAACATGCTCATGGTTCCATCATGGGGCTGCAGCACCCTCAACACCCCAACTTCTAACTGCCTTGTTTTCAAAACTCACTGTACATCAGTTTGTGTTTGCTGTTCATGTAGAGATTTTGAACGTGAAGAGTGATTTCAGTCAGGCTCTGTCTGTAGATTTTCTCATACAGTAAAGATWAATGGAAGAAAATGGCTGATTCAAATGGTCTCCTGCTGCCCACTGGGGCCACTGATTATAGCGGTCTACATGCAAATGATCATGTTTATTACACCGGGGAAATAGTGCAGCAGAAGTGTCCTTGATAATCACTCGCTTGCTTTTGTAAGAGCAAAGTATAATACAGACATAAAAGTCTTGGTAATCTGATAATTAATACACAAACTGCTGTTGCTGCGTGCACGCACACACCGACAGACAAGTTATTTTTCAAGTATTTTTAGATTAAAAAGTTTGAAKAAATGCCATCAGTGACATCGTGAAAGGCATGCTTTCAATATAACCATTTATCTGGCAATACAAAAAGCAAAATGTCACATAAATGGCAGGTCTGTAACTGGTTCTGTGCTCTGTACACGACTGCAGCCTTTCTTTCCTCTATTATCTCTTTTCCTTAACAGCTCCCCTGATAGGTCTGCTCGGTCATCTTCCTGCTCATCTGAGGAATTTATCTGCCTGTCCTCTGGGTATTAGGCATTATTGCTCTTTGTGGTGCTTCATGAAGCTATGATTAGTGTTGGACTCAACGTGCCAGTTATGAGAGTTTATTACTCTGATTGACTTCAAGTTTTGCCTTTTTTAGGTCAGAATTTGCCTCTAATCAGGGTTATTATAGTTAACTAAAACCAACAAAATAATGAAAACTGAAAGTGGAAAAAAAATAACATTTTAGTTAACTGAAATAAATAAAAACTAATAAAATTAAATAGCTATAAC